CACATATTTTGTTCTGAGCTGTAATACTCCTATTAAGATTGCCCCTTTTTAATAGCTTTTGAAAGAATCTCTTGCATAATGGCATTTTAGTCATCATGTTAATGTCAACAAACAAGGCAGATTAATGCTTATAATCCTGAGCTGTCTCACACTCTGGTTATTAGAACTGTAGGCAGATCTTCATTAGGATGAATGACATCTGAATCTATAAGCTCATCACAACAGAGGCACCTTCTTGCTGTGGTGTCACCCTGCAGATGACAATGTCGGCCATTATGAATGACACTCCACAATTCGTTACTTCCTGCCTCAAATTGCAGTTAATCTTTCATCCAAACTGTACACATGTGCAGCTTTAAGTGGGCTATCACAGCAAGTACCCAGTAATGCTGCAAGCACATGGAGAATGACAGAAGGTAAATTGCTTGTCAGGAGGTCTGTATTTCAATTCACAGCATATTCCAAACACGTTGTGGTGAAAGCTCTCCACAACAGCTGCTTTCATTGCTAACTATTTTTGATGTAAATGTCAATAAAGCTCCAGGCCCTTTCATATTTTTGGCCAAGACTGTCCATCTTTCCCTATGCAGGCTGGCAGGTTGAGCTCCATTTATCTACTCTTAGGAACATGTCCTATAATAATGATTGTCTCTGGAGACCGTTTAGAGTGATTGAAAGCAGTGATTGGGACAATAGGCCGCTGAATTTCATTGCTGGATTGGGTTGACAGGTGACTGCTTTTATATCCTCTGGAGGAGAGATGGAAATAAAAACACAGTTATATCTAATCAACAGACAGGCATCTCCCGATTGCAAATCTATACCTTCAGCTTACCCTTCTCATCAGAATGACTTAACCACACATTATTACAGGACTCTCATATTTCGCCAGTGGTGAGAGGGTTTTCAGGAGGAAGGAAGATAGAGAAGATATGTGTTACCTCACTAGAGGTGAGAAGTAGGGAAAGAACATGTCACAGGCCATATAGCTCTACCAGCTTCACCGCCAGCTGCTGCTTTTAGTAGCTGCAGTTAAGACCATCATTTTGATTTAATGAAAATCCCTGGGTGTTACAGAAAAAAGGAATTTCATTTTTAATCAAAGATGCCATGAATGTTACACATTGTCCATGAATTTTAACACACTGATTGTAATAGCATCCTTTTTTTAGTCTTGCATTTAAGCAAAAGTTCTGTAAACTCATTAAGCTTACTGTGGATATTTTTTTTCTTTTATGAAGTTAGTAATTAACATACCACTGGGTTTTCCAAAAGAGATGGGAAGACGATCAGGTAGAATTCTGAAAACATTATGGCAAATGGTCTAAAATATTCACTCTGCACCAGCATCTGGCTGTTTGGCAGACCCCAAAGACAGTTGTGCTGGCACCTTTGAAATTCCCTGTGAGTCCATGTAGTTGCCCATGGTTACACAGCAGCTGGGATCTGGCTTCCCTGCTACCACATCCCCCCCACCTCCATTCACCTTTGCTTCTGTAAGCCACATGCCCTTCTGCCCATCAGAGATGCCCATGTTGCATCCATTTCCCTCTCTTATTTGCAGGCTATGTAGAAGAGAGTAAGTGAGAGTTTACCCTTTCCCACCTCCTTTTGTCTAAATCTGTATTGGTGTAGTTTTGTTCACATTTTACACTGATTTTTGTTTACTAGATTCTCAGTTTCTACAATACTGAGCAGCTTTCTGTAGCTCTAGGCAATGCTGACACAAGTTGTGAGAACAATATGATTAAAAGCAGCTAACTACCCAGCTGTTAGTCACATATCTGACAAAAATGTAATTCAAAAAACTCGATGCTGAGTTCTACCCTTCAATTAAAAAAACCCAAACAACTGAATGCTGTATGACTTCTATATATCTTTAATAACAGCAATTTTATTTTGAAATTTTGAGGGTGTATTGGGTTTGCATGGCAAGGTTTTGGTAGTGGGGGGGTAACTGATGTGGCTTCTGTGAGAAGGTGCTAGGGGCTACCCTTGCGGCCAGTGGATCCAATGACAGCCAGCTCCAAGATGGGCCTGCTGCTGGCCAAGGCCAAGCCAATCAGCAATGGTGGTAGTGCCTCTGGGATAATGTGTTTAAGAAGAGGAAAGAGAAAACCAAGAGTTGGAGCAGCTGGAGAGAGGAGTGAGAATATGCGAGAGAAACAACTCTGCAGACCCCCAGGTTTGTGAAGAAGGAGAGGAAGGAGGTGCTCTAGATGCTGGAGCTGAGATTCCGCTACAGCCTGTGATGAAGACCATGGTGAGGCAGGCTGTCCCCCTGCAGCCCATGGAGGACCCCATGATGGAGCAAGTGGATGTGCCAGAAGGAGGCTGTGACCCTGTGGGCAGCCCATGCTGGGGCAGACTCCTGGTAGGACCTGTGGACCCATGGAGAGATGACCCCACACTGGAGCAGTCTGTGAAGAATCTGTGGGAAGGACTCACGTTGGAGAAGGTTGGGGACGACTGTCTCCCATAGGAACAATGCCACACTGGAGAAGGAGCAGGGAGTGAGGAGGAGGGAGCAGCAGAGACAACATGTGATGAACTGACCATAGCCCCATTCCCAGTCCCTCTGTGCCGCTGAGGGGGAGGAGGTAGAGAAATCAGGAGTGAAGTTAAGTCTGGGAAAAAGGGAGGGGTGGGGAGAAGGTGTTTGAAGATTTAGCTTTTATTTCTCATTATCGTACACTGATTTGAATGGCAATAAATTAAATTAATTTTCTCCAAGTCAAGTCTGTTTTGCCCAGGATGGTAATTGCTCAGTGATCTCCTTGTCCTTGTCTTGACCCACAAGCCTTCCATCTTATTTTCTCCCCTCCTCCATCCAGATGAGCAGCAGAATGATAGAGCAGCTTGGTGGGCACCTGATGTCCAGCCAAGGTCAAGCCACTACAGTGGGAAAAATATCTACTATGTGACAAATCTTCATAGAAACTTTTATTTCTTCATGGAAATAAAACCAGTTCATTTGAATTAGGTTCATATTATAGATTCAATCCAAATTTCCTTTGGAAAGGAAAAAAGATGCAATTCTTTCAAATTCTTGAAAACAATTTTTTATACACTTTTGCCTAAGTGTAGCTATATATTGCCAAAGGATTCCTTTTTGGTTTAAGGCCCTAAGCTCAGTTTGGAATGTTCAAAACTATTATAAACACTGGGACCCTTGTATCAGATCTGCGTGCCAATTTACCAGTTTGTGTAGATTTTCACAAACCGGGGATAGGATTACTTGATGTGTTGCAGGCCATGTGAGGAGACTGGAATGCCGCCTTAGTGGATGTTACTGCATGCAGAAAACTTCCTAACTTCAAAGTGTTATGGATTTTCTGGCTTTTAGTGCATTTCTTGACAATCTTTTATCCAGTTTTCTTTTTAGAAAGAAATGGCACCTCTTTACAGAGAAAGTTATTGAGTGTCACTAGCTCACTACAGAGCCAAAAGCATTACAGTGAAAACAGAGGTTCTTGTTCTAATTTACTGTTAAAAAAAAAAAAAAAAGAAGTTTAGTTTTATTCACAGAGCTACAGAAATACATGAGCTTTCCATCAGATGGGAGCAGATTGCCATAGAAGGACACTCAGAAAGAAGGAAAAGCAGGGAAATGAATACCATATTATTTAAACAGAGAACATAAAATAATTTTGCTCATTTGTAGAAGTGTGATTGTTCGCTCAAGTAATAGTTTTTAGAAAAACATTGTCCAACAACTTACAGTAATTGTTCTTGGATTCTTTTATGGGCAAACCACCAAAGAAATATGACCAGCCAAGGCTGGTCACATTCCAGTCTATAACTCTGGAAAGAAAAGTGAAGAAGCTGTTTACTGGCTTGCTTTTTGGTTTATTTATGTAACTTCCCAGAACATGAGTTGCTGTCAGATGTCTTTTGTAACCAACTTTCACCTTTGATTCTCTCTGCTTATCCAGAAAGATATATAAAAGATTTGACATATGGTGCCATGTACATTGAACAACTTAGTTTTGCTGAGATCTTGTGTAAATATTTTTTGTAGATTTTCCCTTCTTCAGCATTACCGTGGCTTAGATAAGCCCTCTCTTGAACTTTGTGCAGAACTCTTTCAGTAAAGACTTATGTTAAAATCACTCACCCGGAATAAACGTCTACTAGCACTAGATGACACCTGTGATCTTTCATGGAGGTGTCCATGGGGTGGAATATGTTAGATAATGCATGTGTGCATCACCCACACCTCTTGTAAAAAGAACTCAGTATCTGTTGAAGATTTTGAAATATCAGTGTTAGTAAAATTCTAATCAACTGTCCTCAGCAGAGGAACCATGATCTAGTATTTCTATTGTTAACAGACATTCTCCTCTAATAGTTACAGGCCTTAACTTTCTTTCAGAATATCATTAGATTTTAATATAATTTATCCCATGTACTATTTGACACCTCACTGAAGTAAGCTAGGCTCAGTAGAAGGAGAGAGAGACGTAGTTCAAGGCTGTGAATCTTAATGCACCAGTACAAAACCCAAAGAACCTAAGCTGTAGGGCACTTAGATTGCTAACTTAGTCACTTCAGTTACAGTACTGAAGTTAAACAGGATGAGTCACCCTCGGTAAGGTTAAAGTCAATGTAGATATAAACCCACTTCACCACTCGCTGGCATACTGGGGTGTCACACACTAAGCTGATGTGAGACATTATCAGCCCTGAAGAGAGGGTGGTTTATGGATATTCCATACTCAGTGAAGCACTGTGTGAAACAGCAGCCTGATGCACTGTGCCAGATCTACAGTTTTCTACTAAAAACATTTCTCTGAGGAAGGCCAATATTCCTGACCTTGCCAGGAATGGAACTATTGATTTTAAATTTCTACTGTATACTTTCATTCTTCACCAGAGTCCACAAAGAAAAATTTCAGTAAAAGTATTCGTTGTGTAAAAATGAACTCTGGCTTATTAAAATATTCAGTAAGCTAAAGAATACTCTAGAAGACCAATCTGAAAGTCTGATAAGAGCCGGTGCCACATCAGCAATGCTGTAGCTGTCCCGTGGTACAGGAAGAGCATGTGGCTTTTGGTGAGCATACTTAGCTTACAATATTAGATGAATAATTGTTCTAAACTTCCCTTAAAAAGAGATGCAAGGCATAGCCTGGAAAATGTCACAAGCAGTAAAGCAAATTTTTGATCTATGAGCATATGAAAAAGGCAAAGTGTGTAATAAAGACCTTTTATTTACAATAAAGTGATTTTTTTATTGTCTATAATTTTCCCATTTAATTGTTCACAATGAAGGAGTTAATGTTCAAGAGAGGAGTTTCAATTAGCTCACACCAAAAAGTCAGAAAGAGAGTTTGTCTTCAGAAAGGTGTATCACTATCCTGCAGTTCCTGCAATCAGTGCAGTGTCAGACACGTCTCCTGAAATCTCGAATCAGCTTACCAAAAACACATCTACCACGGTCTTACAACAAATCATTGAGGAAGCAAATTTATGCGATAGTGACTGACTGTTACACAATTAAATGTGACGGCATGAGGTATCAGAATAACATGGAAAATTTGTCCATTGCTATATGTTATGTAAGGGATGATTCATCCCTGAAAATATCTCAGAGAAGAGGTGCAACTCAATCATCTTCATGCCAACTGCACCTCTGACATGATTATTGCTCCTTTGAAAGCAGCTGAGTTCTTTTCTAGTGGCATCATTAATTTGTGCTATTATAAGGCCAGTATGAAATTTATGAAGACGAGTTGGCATATAAATACACGTCCAGAAGGAATGTGAAAAGGAAATACGTTGAAGTATGCATGATTTCAGGCATCTATTTCATTGAGTAGGGCATGTCTTGAAAAGAACATTTATGAAAATGTTCCAAATGGTGATTGCTGGGGCAATGGTGGGGGTTTTTTTCCATTTTTTAAATGTTTTGTTAGCTGCTGTCGTTGGCATGATGATAAGGAAGAAAATAAAGAAATGTGAAAGGAGAAGAACAAAACTGACAGCTCATCTTTTCTAACACTGATATATATATTTCCTATTCTAATATCCTATAATGCATTGTTACAACGGGAATTTTGATTGGTTCATCCATTCACACACTTGGAGACCGTGGATTTGAATAGTCTTTATTGGAACAGAACACTGTAAGCAACCAACATAAAGTCTGACCAGGCAAAAATTTGACCTTGGAAAGTCTGTAACTGGACTACCGGTTTTGACTTCAACATAGATATGTGCTGGAAATATGCTGGAAAACCCAAACAACTATTTTACTAGTTTGATTGCAACATCCTAATGAAGTTTTCCTGCTCTGCTGGTTAGAGTCTCTTTAAGATTATCTGACCAGAAACTGGAAAGAGAAGAAATACCATCAGACAGAAAGCTTTAAGTTGCTAATGCTTTTCATAAATGTTTTATAAATGTGTCAGAGAATCCCATGACCCCCTCCCAGAACACCTGTAAGAGAGAGAAAAGTCACCCTCTGTAGCATCAAGAAAAATGTAAACCCCAGAGAAATTCCAGTTAGGTTCTGAAGTTCACGATGTGTCAGGTGGACCCTTTGTATGAGGCTGAATCAGAGTCTAACAAAACAAAGCTCTACTGCATGAATACCACAGTAATTGACATTATCTACTTATCACTGCTTGCAAGGGCTTTTTTTCCCAAGAGATATACTGAACTCTGATTAGAACCAGTGATAGAAATTGGGGAGGATCGGTGTAAATATTTCAGGCATACATTTTTTTTAAGGATGTAAGAAGGGGTAAGAAAAATTTTCACACTCTTTTTGCATGCTGCTGGGGTATTGATCAACCTTTTGTATCTTGAATACTGTGGGCCTCACCAATAAACCATTTCAGTCGTTTCAGACTAGAAAAGCTTCTGGCATGGGTCAGAAAAACCAGGCAACAGATGCTGCACACATAACTTAGAATGCGTTCCCCACAAAACAGTGAAAAAGTTTAAAAGCCACAAAGGAGAAGTGCGAGGAGATAACTACCTCCTTGCTCAGTGCATAGGTGTGGATGAGTCAAGTGAACACACAGCACGAAGCTGGCTCTTAATTTTCCCAGTGCACAGGCTTGTGTTTATTAGTAATTCCTCCTCACTTTTGTGCAGGCACTAAGTCTGCACTCTTTAGCTGGCTGCCAGCAGGATGGTAGATTGGGCTGGGGAGGGAAGGGCTAAAGAAGGGAACGTGGGAGCCCTTGCTCTGGGAGGGTGGCATGGGGCTGTCAGAAGTGAGCAGGCGGTGCCGCAGACAATTGCAAGCAGGGGAAAAGTACACACTTCTCTTGTGGCTCCCTTTGATGCCTGGATCAGATCGTCTCTTGGACTAGCAAACTCTAACACCTCTTCTGAAATCAGCTCCAACTGGTGATGAGCTACATCTGGCCTGTGAAATGAAAATAGCAAAACCTTTGATTGAGTCCAAGTTAAGTGGATCTTCATCATCTGCTCAGTCAACTTTTGCCAAGATGAATGATACTATGACAGTATTCTAATAATTTCTGAGGTGGATTCCCTCCTTTTTTCATCCATCTGCAAAGAACAAACTGCAAACACTTGGAAAATTTACTGCTCTCTAAGGGAGAAATTTTGCTCTTTTTGAACATATCCATGGCATTTCACTGAGTGAAATGGAGCGCTACCTGGAAGCCTGATTCAACATAAAAACACAGACCTCAGTGTTGAAAAGGAGATCAGACTTTTAAAAATGTCACAGTGCCTGTTTTTACATTGTTGATATGTCAGTGTTTTTCCTATAAGAAGTTGTTATATTTAACTGGACTTGGATATCTTCTTTTCAAAGAGCTTTATCTGTGGATAAAGTAGCCTGACAGAAAGAATACTCTCCATTTACCACATCGACCGCAATGCAAATAAAAACGTATCTTTACTAATACATTCACAACTGAGATTATCAAACAAACAGAAACTTTGGCACTTAAGAGTGCAGCTGTACAATGATCATTCATGTTATTCTGAAAATTGGCTGGAAAGCACTAGATTTCTGTACTTACCATACAGTGCATTGACTCTCCAAGTGCTGAAAGTAACTACTTAATGGCTCCAACATAATTTTCCATGTATGTATCATTATTTCAGTATATCAGAAGATATTCAGCAGCCATGCAAAGCAGACACCCACAGCTTGCTTGCCACGGTGCCTGTCTGTGGCAGATACAGCACATTGGGACTCTGCTTCCCTCCTGGCCTTTCAGTTTCAGTGTAGGTCCTGTTATTTTTCCAAATGAGATAGCCGGATATCTACATAGTGATAGGAAAATTCTGCCAAATCCTAGTTATGGGAGACCCACCAAACTTGTCTCTCCTTCTGGGCTCAGGGAACAGTGAACTTTTCACCTGCCCCAGTTCTGCAGAGCATGCAGAGAGCATTTGCTTCGCAACACACATTTAAGTAAGTTTGGGCAAGATTAAAGCTACAAGAGGTCAACCAAAGCAGTATGGATGGCTTTTTGCCAGGAACCATGGTAAGACCTTGTTTATCTCAGCTCTCCACTTTAGTGAAAAGTAAGTTTTACCACCCTGCAAAACAGCAGCCAAGCTGACATTTCTCTTTCTCGCTGTCCCTCACAGTCTGATGTCTGCCCTGGCTGGTAAAACAATACTAGCTCTTTCCTGACACAGGAGAGTAGAGTAATACTGTAGCCTGTCACAGATTTCAGTAATGGGATGTTTCTTTTCCCTGCATCAAACAAAATCATGTTGAGCTTTGTTTTCCTTGAGCTTATGAGCACATTTGACACTATCTTTGCCTCGTATCCATCCTCTCACTGGCTTTAATTCCTCCGTTTTTCTCTCTTTATTTCTTCTGTCTTCTGGTTTTTTTTCCCCCCACTTCCTCTTTGTGTTCATTCTTTCTTAATCTCTTGCTTGATTGCCTTCACCTTCTTCAGACCCACCTGCTGTCCCTATCTGTCTGAGGTCATTCCTGAGGTGTTGCTGGCTGTTCCTCTCCTGTGGGAACTACAGCCATGGGCTTATATTTACTTCCTCCTGCCCCAAAGAGGGATTGCAGCCAACTTCCAAGCTTGTGCTATTCTCTTCTAAAGGTGCCTTGCTGCAGCCATGTGTCAGCATTTCTCCTGGATCATGGTGATTTTATTCTGCCATGAGCTGAGATACCACCTCATCAGAGAGTGTAGAGTTATTTATCAGTGTTAGATTTGACCCAAAGTGCTTTTGGGGATCAGTTGGTGGCTTTGAAGATGAGGATAAATGCTTTGAAGGAAGGAATGATAGTTTTGAGCAAATCAGCTTTCTGTTAAATTATAATCTGCTATAATGCAGTCTCCAACAATGATTATAGAAAATTATCTTTTCTTTTCTTGAGTCTGGCCTTAAGTAGTTGGAAACAATAGTACCAATAGATGGTTAAATAGATAGTTCTGTATTACATTTTGTTATGGAGATGGAAAATACAGAGTGAAAATTTTATCACTGGGATTATTCAGAGCCAGATTTTAGAGGGAAAGACTAGTAATTAGTCTCAGTTTAATCGCTAGTGGGAGATAGTTCACATTACCAAATGATTTGATGTTTCAGCACAAATGACAAACTGTGTTCAGAGAGGTCCAAGACTCTGTCAGCATGGCTGGAGACTAAATCACCTTTCCTCTTTATAGTAGATTGAGTTGTCCTTCCAAATCGGGGTTAAGGTCATTGGCAGGGCAGTCTGGGAATGAGAGCATCTGTCTGAAATATACCTGGACTGCGGATGTATTCAGAAATTCAATTTCTGATGCTGCCAGTCCCTTGACCTTCACAAGCACATGTGCCTACCAAAACCTATGAAAAGGAAAAAAAAAGAAAAAAAAAAAAGCCTTGATATTTTTATTTGACTTGAGCTTCAAACTCCTGTGAATAGACCAGCAAGAGCTGCTGGATAGCATACATTACAGACCCCAAAATAATCATGTGCCATGGAGAAAAAGTACATGCATTTTATCTTAATTCTAGCTTAGATGCTCTGTTTCCCTTCTTCACATGCACAGACAACTCTGCCTGCAAATTATTTCAGGTCCTCTCATGGTCCATTGAGGACGGCTAGACATTTGCTAAAGTCCTTGAGCAATCATGCCTTGTAGTAGATAAACTGAAATTGCCACATCAAATAAACAAGCGCAGGAGTCCTAAATACACGTTTGAGCATTTTTCCCCACAAGTTGATGTTGGAAGGGATGCTTTGCATATGCTGATGAAGCACAGACTTCCAACTGCCTGGGGAACCAGTGTCCCTCGCAGTTGAACGGTGGTGGCCGCTCCCGGGGGGCTGCAGGGCTCTGGAGGGCCGTGCTCGCGGGGGCTACCTGCTTTAGCTCCGTGCAGCAACAGTGAGAGCCATATGTGGAGCTGCAGGAAAACAGATGCTGTTTTTCCATTTGTGAAATCAAGTTGTTGGAAAGTAGTCAGCTTTCCGATGTACAAGAGAGAGCTCATCTGATCAACCTGCAGAGACAGCGTGAGCTTGTTTTTTTAAGAAACATTTGTCAATATTTCTAAATTATTGGTGACTTAGAATAGTGAAAGAAATAATGGTATGGAAATAATCAGCTGATAAATGGCTTTAATAATAGGTAGGTTTTTGATGACCTGTGATTTTCATAAACAAAGGGGCTGTGCGACCTGGATTTTGACTGCTAGATCTGCTTCCAGGCATGCATCTCTACATCAAGTGTAAGGTTTACTGTAACATCTCGATTTATCATACAACAGATATAACCATTCAGATTTCTTCTTACCATTAAAAAATAACATTATTCCCCTAGAATAAAATGAGACAGTGTTTTGTTCTCAGAGAAGCCTCAAACGTGTTTGTGTTAAACCCAAATTAAATAGCTTTTGTTGGTTATTATCAACCAAAAATATGTGCTCTAATAGTTCTTAAATAAAAAATGTTTATAATGTGAAGTGATTTTCTAAATCACTGTGACATAGTGAAATATAACCCACTGTAATTTGCCATCCTTTAAATATGCAATTTATCTTATCAGAAATGCAAAGATTTAAAGTATCAGCTGGCTCCAGTGGCTCCAGACTAATAAAAGGTATCTTTTCTATTACTCTGATTAACAGGATAGTTTAAGATACTTGAAACAAACAAAGAAGACTTACTGGTAAATAGCAAACAAGGACTAGTGTTCTTTTACCAGGATTATGCTCTTTAAGACTGTGCCAAGATCCCTAGGATATTTTGTCAGCATGTTAGGATCCTTCACATTTCTCTGCAGTGTATCTATTTTCCACTATTTCAGAGCTATGGAAATCTGTCCTAACTTTAGTATCAAATCTACCTCTTTTCAGAAATATAGCCCGTCTGTTAATTGTATAAAGAATTTAGGATATTAGTTGCTCAGAATTACATCTTGGATGTGTAAAATAGATGGGGTAGGAAGTATGTAATCAGAAGTCAGACTTATTTGAATTTGTGTCAAAGGCAAAAGTTATGCTAAAGCTAACTCCAAAAGATTTAACTGCATGCAGATTTTGTCCATGTCTTTTGAATTTCTTTAATTAAATAAACTGTGTCTCACTGTTGTGACGCAATCCTTGTTAAAGGTGAGGATCACTGTAACACCAGTGCAGATATCTCTGTTCAAACAAGGAGTCTTTTACAAATTGCAAAAGATGTGCCAGTTCAGCTTACTTTGCCTTGACTCCCAACCAATAATATTACACAAATTGCATAAATTAAGCTAATTTGTGCCAGTTAGTCCCTGGCACAAACAATCTTCTAGTACAATAGCAATTTCTATAGGAAAGATAAAGATCATCTTTGCAGAGAATGAAGAATATCCAAGATCAGCGAGCATCAAATACTCACTTGCATTCAGAGAGCAAGGAACTTCCCACTGACTTTGCCTCCTCTAACCAGCAAGACAGGACGTGCACTCTGGGAAGGGCTGTATGGAACTGTATGTGAGTTTATCTTTTTCTCTCTCTTGAATACCCGCATGTGCAAACATGCTTAGAACTACACAAGGGGTAATGGCTTAAAACTGAACAAGGGTTGGTTTAGATTAGATGTTAGGAAGAAATTCTTTACTGCAAGGATGGTGAGGCACTGGAACAAGTTGCCCAGAGAGGTTGTGAGTGCCCCATCCCTGGAAATGTTCAAGGCCAGGTTGGATGGGGCCTTGAGCAACCTGCAAGGTGTCTCTGTCCACGGCAGGGGCGTTGGAACTAAATGATCTTTAAGTCCCTTCCAACCCAAACAATTCTATGACTCCAAGATACTGTAAGGAGATACAGAGGTAGGACATATGACACATATTATGTCACCATTCTTGTTACTTCTAAAAAAAAAAAATATATAGCTTCACCCTTTTGGGGGAAAGGAGGAAAGAACAGACAGAACACATCTGGTATGCTTACTCATGTGCTGGTGGATGTTGGTCAGATGTTAAGATTAAGAAAGCAGTAGAATACAGAGCAATAAAAAGTCTGCTAAGACCAGATTTCTTCAGTTGCACAGAGTTCTATATCTTCACATTCCTACAGCTCCAAAAGCAAATCACTTCCACTCTTGTGGCTTTGTCAAATCAGAAGGAAAAGCAAACTGAATATTCAGAAATATTTTTTGTAAGTGATATACCTTCATCCAAACTCTCAGCTTTTCTACCTCAGTCAATTAAACATTTGATGAAATTGTAACGCATATGCTTGCCTTAAAGAAGCAATGTCAGGCATTTCACAAATGGAAGACACAACCCCATCCCCCCCTCAAAAAAAAAAATACTAACCTGGACAAATAAAATCTGATGGAGGGAATTTTCTGAAATTTTGTTGAACTTTGCTTAAGTCAATATTTTTTCATTCTTTATCAAAAGATAGTAATGCTATTCTAGGCAATGCACACGAATAGCCAAACTTCAGAACTCAAAGACATTTTAAACTTCTGCCTAATTTTTTTGTTTCATTTGGAATTGCTACTTCTCCTCAAGTGGAGGCATAGGTTAAAAAAAAAAATCAAAGTATGAATTTGCTCCCTCTTATTTCATAACCTCATTTACATAGCAAAATGAACTATGGAGGAGTGGGGATTTGAAAAGCAATGAAAGGTCTTCAAAAGCTGTCAGCTGCATTTATTTTTGATAGAAGAATAGCTTTTCTACAGCTGTTTGACCCATCTTGAAAATTGTGTATCTAAATTCCATGAGTCCCTGCTTATTTGTTCAGCTACAGTTCATACAAGCATCCAGACTTTAGTTATGTACTCAAACTCATGGACATGCTAAGTCCATGGAGGCTCACTTATCACGTTTTTTTCATAGATATATTTCACACTCAGTGAAATACAAAACTCTGAGCCAACATGGCTGCAAGTCTGGTCATCACTTTGGTTACACAGAGAACAGGGGAAATGTGAACCAGTCATTCACAGTGTAAGGTGCATTTTCCCCTAGACAGTGATTTCAGGGCTCACTTAAAGGCAAACCCACCTGTCAGAGTGCAGGGCAGTGCTGGATTCACTCGTGTTAGACCCTCTCTGTACTCCCAGCCATTGAGCTACATTGAGTTAGCACCAGTTTTACCTAACCCAATACCCAGCTCCATACGGGACTGCCTGAACATACAAAACCATCTGGGATCTGATACATGTCATGCTTGAGACTGCATAAAATGCACTGCCCCACTCTTGCCCACATTACTTTAAAAAGGGCTTTTTCAGTGGCAATTATTTACATGATAAAATATCTATGGCAATTTTGGAGCTGTGGAGAAAGTAGCTGATGGGTAAGATTAACAGGACTTAGAAAACTTTTTCTATAGAAGATTAGCACTTTTTTTCACCTAAAATGTATCTCAAAGTCCAAATCTTTCTTTTTTTTTTTTTTTAGTAGTTGCTGTTTTTTGCAGCCAATTACAAGTCACTTGTAAATGAAACAGAATTTAAACTATCCCATGAATGAGTCACTACCCTTGTGTCAGACTGGGCTAAGCAGGGTGGGTAGATAGAACTGCTAACCTCTCAGTCAGACCACTGCTCTGTGAGCCATCAGTGCCAAGTTACCCCTGATGATTAATTCTGACTTACAGAATTATTCTTGACCTTGACTGCAACTCTTAAATTTTGTTTCTTATTGTTGTATGTGCATGGGTTTGCTTTTTGAGGTTTTTTCTTGTTTTAACTTTATATCATGTTGTTTGTTTTTTTTTTTCATCTAATAAGAAAAAAAGGAAAACAGTTTGAATCATGTGCCCTGTTGTGGGGACCAAGTTAATTAAAATCCTGATGTATATATACAGCTGATACTCCTCACCCTAATGAAGAACATTAATTCTAGAACATGTGTGGCTGTAGTCACATTGCTACAAATTACTGGACTCTTTCCTTTATCTGTTTCCAAGAAAGTCTCCCCCGGTTAGTTAGGAAAAAAGAAAAATATGATGCCTTAGTTCTAAGCAGCATAAATTACATGCATCAATCAGAGGAAGCTTAAATTAAAATACACATTTGGCAAACAAATATGAATATGTTGATCTCATCTGTGAATCAAAATGATTTAATGCCAGTACTGACCCCCCACTGATCAACATGAAGGTCACTGCAAACTGCTTGATTCTCATTGAGAAATGTTGTTGTGTCTGTTAAAGATGCGGTTTTATACATTCCCTAATGCTCAATCTAATCGGTAATTCCAATGTAGCAGAATTGATTTATTTTAGAAAGAAAATACAGAATTCATTTTTTTTTATTTATGTAATCCAAAACAGATAGCTAAATTAAAATGTTAAAAAAATACATGTGGTGTATGGGTCTGGGATGAAGGCTTTCCAAAGTGTTA